TCTTTTTTTTTTTTTTTTTTTTTTTATTAATTTTTATTCGTACTCGCGGAAACGAAACATTTCCCCTTTTCAATTCTATTTCATTCCGATCACAAAAGAAAATATATTTCCATTCTTATATTCTTTTGCTCAATTTCGTCAATTGTCGTATTATTTCTCATCGTCAAATATTTTGATTGAATATTCGCAAAGATTTTTCTTCTTTTTTTTTTTTTTTTTTTTTTGCCGCATAATTTTTATCCCAACAAATCGATCCACTATTATTAGATAATTAATCTAATTATCCAATTTTTCCCCCTCCCGATTATTGACGACGCGTGAAAAATATCTCGATGACAAACGAATCTTCGAAGGAACGATTCGTGCGCGGACAATTCGTTTCAGAATTTAACGCCACGATCAATATCGATTAACGAATGATATTCATTATTATACGTAATGTAATAATCCGGGTCCACTCATTCACGATGCGGATTTTCACGACGTGGAATGTTATATGAATAATGAATGAAGAAGGAAGGGGAGGGGGTGTATTAATTTCGGAAAGAAACCGAAATGGATTGTCCAATTGAATCCCGCGAAAGTTAAATGGAATCGAAATTACTGCGACAGGATTACGGTATAATCTTGGAAATTGCTTTACCGGTCATTCGATAAAACTAATTAGATTCGCGATAAAGAGAAAAAAAAAGGGAAAAAATCGGTATAAAATTGAGCATCGCCGAGAATCAAGAAATAAATATTTAAAGATCGTCCCTCCCTCANNTAAAAAGTAACCCTAACTAACTAAAAACATAATAACTCACGTTCACATNNNNATATATATATATATATACATGAATGAATTCACGGCGAACAGTTTTCAAACGACGAGCAATTAATAATAAACCGATAAGGGAGGGGGGCGCAAATATCGGTGTATTTGATCAAAGGGTTCTAAATACAGAGCTTATCCGTATATTAAGTGAATCAATTTAATTTATGTAATGACGTATTAAATACTCTCCCCCGTGTTCGGATATAGAGGAAGCAGGATTTTCACGTGGAAATCTTTCCATTTCAATTTCTCTAGTGAGCCTATATGATCGATTATAATTAAAACGTTGCTTAATTTTCAATATATTTAACGCGATTCCCCACAAATTATATTCCCCTCCCCGTATATGCACAACGTAATATAATCATTTCCGTGCAATTTGTTTGCTTCCCGACCAATTATTTTTCTTATCACCGACACCGTGTAATATAGCATGCGTTTCAATAATTTCACGAAAGGGGGGGAGGGAGGGGAGGCCAATTGAATTGTTATTCCCCGCTCGAGCTAGGGAATAACTAACATTTTCAATCGGCGGGGGAAAAATGATTACAAAAAGAAATTGGGAGGCAAATGAAAAAGAAAATTGCATGGAGGGGAAAGAACGGGTTTTCACGGGGAGCAGAGATATAAAACAACACAATTGAAATCGGCATCGATCCGTGCAATTTAGTCGATCACGAAAGTAATTAATGCAACCGACTCCGCTTGTGCTCGCTTTGCGAAAAACTCTCTGAACGAAGAGGTGACCGAGAGGGAAGGGGGAAAGGAAGAAAGAGGAGAGGATGAAAGAGGCTAAAACGGTATCAATTATTACGCGTTTCGAACTTCTGTTCTTTTTTTTTTTTGGAAAGTTTTTTGGAGCTTATATTAAATATGTTGCGATATCCTTTCGAAATATCTTTTTTTCTCTGAAACAACGAGTTGGAAAGAGAGTTCTTACGGTTTTTGTTATTTTAAATGCTCTATATTTTCGTTTAACTTGATGTTGTTAAATTGACTTTTGTATATTATTTTATTAATTTTTTAATCGTGTCCGCTGTGAAAATGTGATATTGATTTTATTTTCAAATTAGTTTTTCTGAGAGTGTTGGACAAAACGTAATGGACAAGAAATTCGAACAATTTTCCTATTCCAATTCCAGGACTCCAGAATTTTATTCAACAGGAATAACAAAACTATAAAGGTTTCTCGCTGGCAAAAGCGCATCGATTGCAATTTTATTCTGATTAATAAAGTTTTGTTCGAGATATGTGTGATTTGAATGTAATAAAGTTAAAAAGAACCGCGAGAACTTTCTTTCCAATCTAATAATTATATATCTAATCGATCTCTAATATTTACCGTTGACGATGTTAAAAAAAAAATTCTATTCATTACGAAACAGAAGCCTCGCTCTTTCGGTTTTTTTTTTCGAAACCGGCGTATTTCTTCTCTCTCTCTTTCTTTCTTTCTTTTTTTTTTTTTTTTTTTTTTTTTTTGTCTCTCCAACGTACTCTCGAATGCAATTTCTCTCCGTGTGCCCCTCCCTTGTGAGCTTGCTCCGCTGCTAGATTTTTCCAATATCTGTGTTACAACGAAACGAAAATCCCTGCAACCCTCGTTTGCGATGCAAATCAACGCGAGAAACATTTCAGATTAATCAACTTATCGTTGTAGGAGTATAACGCTATTTCGAATAACCGATATTATAATATTATCAAGAGATTATTATTATTATTATTATTGTTGTTATTATTATTATTATTATTATTGTACAAACCGAGTTGGACGTTAAAGTTTTCACATGACTTCCATTAATTATTCGCGATATTTAATTCTCCGCTGGAAATGTGCCATTAAGTAAATCAATCGTGTACACGGTTCCAATTACGCGAACGGTGCATATAAAGTGGTTGGTACAACGATTAAATTATTCGCCAAGACGAATCTGTGTGTATTTTCTTTCTCCCGTATATATTTCTATGATATTATTCATTTTCTTTCTTCTTCTTCTTCTTCTTCTTCTTCCTCTCTTCTTTTTCTTTGTTATTGTATATATTCCTCTCCTCGGTATGTATGTATTTTAAAAAAAAGTAAAGATACGAGTAAAAATGTAAACATAAATAAAAAAGCATATTTAAAAAAGGGAAAATAGTTGCGAATCGTTGGAAATTAGAGAATTGACCAGAGTGAGTTCCACGCCCCATACGTAAATCATTTCATTTGGGACGGTTTATTTCCACGGTTAGATCCACGCGGTTGATAATTATACGGACGATATTTCCACGTATTTCGTAGCGAATTAAACGGATATTTACGGGAGAAGTTAAAAAGGGAGGCGGATACTTATTTGTGTTATCGTAAATGTCTGTTATCGCGTTGTACATCCGTTCTTTCTTACCGTTCCTCGTCCTAAGTCACTTTATATATATATATATATATATATATATACACTCTTCCTTCCTTCCTTCCCTGTTAGAACCCTCTAAAAAGATTTTTAGAACGGTCGTTATCTCGATCGTGTCAAGGTAATCACCGGAGTCTCGCTGCTTTATTTTTCCTTTCTTTTTTTTTTTTTTTTTTTTTTTTTTCTTCTTTGTTAAAGGTGCAACGATGATGATGCTGTTCACGAGTCCCCTTCTTCTTCTTCTCTCTTCCGGCCGAGTTTCACCGCTTTAATCAGTAAGTTGGACGGGATGGTCTTGGCTCAATTTACAACGAACTATAACTTGGAGAAGACGGGGAGCCATCCAAAATCCTCCATTATTCGGGGGGCAGCCGAGGAGAGTGGCCGCATCGTTTGCATCAACGCGAAATTGGCGAGGGGAGACACCGAAGTGGATGGGGAGATCTTCGAGGGAGGACACATCCGTGATTCACTTATTATTATTAGAAACCTTATCAACGCGACCACCGATTATTTCTCGTTCTCTTCCATCACCGTCGCGTCGTGGATGGCGAGAAAAGCGATATATCGAGGAGAGATATTCGAGAACTCTCTCTATGAACATGCTATGAAATTTTTGAGAAGAGTGTATGGGATTATTAATCGATAATATATCCGGATATTTAGTCGGTTTCGTTTCATCGATTGTTCAAAAATAATAAAAAAAAAAAAAAAAAAAAAAAAATAGACAATCTTTTCGCGAATCTTATCGAGCGAAAAAATTTAAAAACCATCGCGAAACCGATGATGATTCTTTAAATCATCGATCGATCGTTGCCTTACTTCTTCTTCTTCTTCCATCGAATTCGAGTTTAGATCGATATAAAGAAAGCGGCAGGAAAAAAAAGGAAAAAAAATCTCGTCTAAAATATCCATACATCCTATACATGCACTCGCTAAAAGATCTCATAACGTTTCATAATATATTATAACGAGCTCGAGGTGATTTAGTATACTTGACGAATAAGAGAGAGGATTATTATTACGCGTACGAAGAGAGAGAGAGAGAGAGAGAGTTGTATAAGAAATGATACGAGTCTATAATTTGTTGTATAGAATTGCCCGAAAGTGCTGAATTGTTAATTGTTCTCCTCCTCGTACGGAAACGAATTTATTCAAATCCCCTGTAAACTATTTATCCGAAGGAATTTATTCGAAAGTCATATAACGTATATATATATATATATAAATATACGAAGGGAGAAAAATAAGAAGAAAAAAAAAAAAGAAATTCGCCTTCCTACAGTGACACTAAAAGAATGTATTTATCATTACACATCCTCTATACGACTGTGATGTTTCCATTTCCTTCTTAGTTCGTTAGAATACAAAGTCTGATTATATACGCGAAGAGGAATAAAAGAGGTGGGGGGCAAGGGGATTCGATAAATCGAACGGTTTTAATCGAAACCGAAAAACAAATTATCGTGTTGATATATATATATATATATATATCGATTTCGAAAAGGAAGATGAAGACCATGATGAAAGACGAAGAGGGAAAAGTCGTTCGAATCCTCCACGAAAAGGGAGAACGTTCCAGAAGGAACTTCGTGTTCCAATATTGAAACGAGTAATAATAATTGATGATCGAATAGAATTCGAATTCGACGAGTTTAAAGATAATCACGGATTATTATATTATGAGAAAAGTTTGAAATAATTTTCCAAACTTCGCGCAATTTATAGTTGACGAGATCGAAAGAATATAAGAAAATTTTCGAATATAATTTTGGACAAAATATTATTCCGTTATATATATATATACACACATTGAATATTCGCAGCTACCACTTCGAAACTGTATGAATTTCAATTTCTTGCAGCTTAACCCCTTCGATATTCCCCTTCCTGGATAAACCTAGCATTGAACCAACAATGAAACGACACTTAAACGATAGTTAGTTAGATTCGAAACGGAAACAAGGGAGGGAATGTTTAACGGAACGTGCAAGGAGGGCCCGCGGTTTTAATGAAAGGAAAACAGTGGTAAGAAGTTGGAGGAGGGTGAATGAAATACGATACACAAAAAAGCTTGCGTTCAAACTTTCATCCACTTACGCTCGATAAAGATAAATGTTTAACTACCGACGCGAGAGAGAGAGAGAGAAAGATGATGATGACGATAAAGGGGGAAATGCATCGGCGCATCGGAGGTAGAAAGTCATTATCAACCGAGTTAACGATAGTTTCGACAAACTTTGTAACACAAAGGTTCGCCACTTTCCCGGAAAATTATTTCAAACTATATAAACCGGTCAAACTGTAAACTATAAGCCAAGCCCCACTTTCTCGAGCTTATCCGTAGACTGGCGTAGAGTAAATACTCGAGGCCACCAACAACGGGGGTGGAGTTTTTTTTTTTTTTTTCCAATCCGTTGTTATTAACGGCCGTCGAATCGAAGGTATCTCGGTCAAATAAATATATATATATATATATGTATGTATATGTCGTGTAACGAACGAATAAGAGGGAAAAAAAAGGATGAAACAAAACGAAAAGGAAACGATCATCGTTGACGAAAACGCATAATACGAAGGCTACGACGTTGAAAAAAAAAAGGGGGGAGGGGGAATTGAACTCTCACGAATTCGATATCAAATCTATGTATCCAAAAGATGCATAAGGATAGGTAGCAATACTGTCATTGTGTACGTTGTAGACTACTGTGAATATTTTTTAATAGGTTTATATATGCGTTGACTACTTCTCCCGAGTTTTTCTAGTTGATTTAAGTAAGAGAGAAAGATAAGGATAAAGAGTTGCGCCAAGAGGGGGGGAGGGAGTGTGACTAACCGTGTAATTATTACAATTTGAACGATTCCGCGCGCGTGAGACGATGGATATTATATTACGATTGTATATGAGCAGTTGCCACTTCCGTTTATTGTTATTTATACGTTGTCTAAATGAAGAGGGGAGGGGAGGGGGGGAGGGGCGAGAACGGCAGAAACGCTATTATAGAAAGTTGTATAACCACCCGAATTGGCACTATGATGAAATAATGCTTAACGTGTAACTACCACCGTTTGTAAATATTGTTATATTACAATCCGAGTTCGAGTTGCTGTCAAAACGATAATGCATTATATTATCGAGCCGTTTTTT